ATTTTGCATATGTGTCTATTTTTTCATCTTGTCTCTATTCTATACCATTCGTTGCACCTCACATTTATAGAAACAACTAACTGGACGAAGTGGGGGTTCAAACCTACGGCAAATCATTCCTAAAACTAGTAGGCTAGTACGCTGTCCCATGTACCATACCTCCCTAAAAGATTTATCCAGTTAGGTGTATTTCAATATTCACTAGGAAGGTAAGCAGTGGAGAAATCGAAATAGCACGGTTTTGCACAATTCACTGAATGGAGTGGTGGCTCAAACAGATGGCGAGCGAGTTCCAAAACTAGCGGGCCAGTGCTAGTTCTGCCACAGTCGTGATGGTGTGAAATATGTCTGTAACAGTTTGGAAAATTGACACCTATACAACCCAAAATTAATATATACAATATAATTAATATACACCAAAGCCTAAAGTCCAGTGCAAAGCTTTCTTGTAGTAAAGCCTACCGTCAGTGGAAGTCTGAAGCTTATCAGAAAAGTCATCCTCCAGTTGTGAATATTGAAAAGATATAAAATACCGACAGTTGTTAGGTAAGACACATATGCAACAGTTAGGCATTTAATTTCGAAACGTTTCACCTACACAGTAGGCTTCTTCAGTCGAGTACAGAAAAGTTGGTAGAAGCAGAAGAGATGTGAAGACGATGTAATCAGCCTATCACCCTTGAAGATCTAGTTTTGAGGTGGTCAGTCCCTCAGCCTTGAGAAGAGTATTTGTTCCATAGTCTGAAGCAATGTGAAGTGGAAGTGACAGTATGGAGCCTTATATACTGTCAGGTGGTGAGATGTAGGCCACAAGTAGAAGCAAGAATGTAATCATTGAGAGGCCACGTCCCTCTCAGATCCAACCATTCTCACTAGTAGAAATTGCCCAATGTATTTTCTGTTTTGTACGAGGATACCATTGTGTTGCAGTGTCTCACAGTGAATATTAAAAAGGTATAAACTTTTCTGTACTCGACTGAAGAAGCCTACTGTGTAGGTGAATAATTTCGAAATAAAGATGCCTAACTGTTGCCTATGTGTCTTACCTATCATCCTCCAGTTGTAACTCGGAATCTAACGATTCGATGTTTATTAACTGTATTAGAAATTGGGAAATTTGCATCTACAAAGCCTAAATTTTTAAGGTTTCATTGTTTTCATAAGAAGCATCACCATTTAAGACTGGAGCAGCTCAGATAATGTAAACCCATTTCAAGCAAAAATTACTACTATATTTTGAAAGTAAAAGTGATAAATTGGCACCTGCATACTACAGTAACAATCTCAACCTTCTTCTAAGTAGGATGCACTAATGAAGAAAGTTTGAAACCGATCAGGAGAGACTTTCTCAAGTTATTAAACAGAAAACAAAAATTTTAATATCTATGTAGCAATATCCAGAGACTAGCTACACAAACAGTAGCAACAGCTGCATAAGCCTTTCCCTAAGTACCTTACACCAGCACTAAAAGCTTTACGCCGATCTGCTGAGGCGTTCTTGAGTTATAAAGAAGAACAGTGGAGGAAGAAAAAATAAAAATTCAAGCAAGCATTAATATCAAGCACTGACAAACTCGTACAAAAGTCAGAAATTTCTCTGACATATCTGAAGCAACAACAGGTTTACAAAACTGTCTGGAGGAACATCTTACATGTTCACCTATCCCATTGTTTTGCATTCCAAAACACCAATGACATAGAAAACTGGAACGTAAGACACAAAAATTAGTTTATTCCATAACTGCATTACGGGAGGGGCTTGAACTCGCAGCAAGTGAATCGTAAAACTTCAGGCCAGCTCGTAAGCCACTGGGCCAGCTGGCTACAATAAGATTAGTCCAAGCAGATATACTTATACACCATAGGGAGGTTAGCATGGGTCTCACTGCGCTCTTCTGGAGTTTTACCCTTACCGTGAATTCAAGTACCACCTGCACCCCGGTTTGTTTGCAATCTTGTCATTACTATTTCGTGAGTCAGTTTACACCATAAACACACATCCGTAAAATGTTTCCCTACCCCATCACTTCCGCCTTTATTAATATCAGCCACCACCATCCCGATTCCAAAACTCAACACCTTACTCACTGACCCCTAGAACTAAAAACTTGACAGACTCCTCAACCAACGCCTACACAAGTGCCTTCAAACGAATAACATCCTCACAGTCAGATAATCTGGCTTTAGACTACACAAACCAACACAGGAAGTGCTAAACATCATCCTTAATTACTTGCCCATCAATAAACACTGAGGCTTCAAAGCATTGCTCTTCGCCAAGGATATGGAAACAGCATTTGACACTGGCACGATGAGTTAAAGCACTAAACTGTAACAATTTAAATTTCCCCATTTGTTCTCCAAAACTCCAAACAATGAGAATCAGATTCCAACACCAACTCTCCGACTACTTTACTTGTGAAAGCCCCTCAAGGTTCTCTCCTATCTCATCTATGTACAAATGTCATTCCATAACCTCATTACAACGACACAGTCACCATCTCACACTAACAACAGTACTCAGAAATAGACAACCTATCACATAGAACACAAAATGAAAGAGCAGAATTACACTGGGAGTACAAATGGCGTATCACATAAATAAATCCAAAACCTCCTTTTTTTGACTACACGAAAAGATACTTACTATCACCTGTGCATCATAGAAAAACAAATATCCTCACATTCCAACACTTTTCGGACACAATAATATTACTATGTGTCAACCTACATAAACATACACACACATAAATGCATCATAACATCTAGCAACAGCAAGAAAAAATTCCCCCCATCCTTCGCAGCCAGCCCAGATTCCATGTTTAATCACAATTCGCAATAAAACCCCATTCAATACTTCCATTAGATGGGTCAAATGCAGACACTTTCTATTACCTTTGGAACAGCTTTCACTAAATATTCTCGTCGCTTATCTCCACTTCAACGTTCATCCTCGACAAGCTCTTTTCTCTTCATGATTCAAGACCAACATTTACATTCTAGTGTCACCGTCGCTTTTACCACGGTCTTCAGTCATAATATAATAAAACCTGCGTTTTCTTAGGAGGATGGATTTTATTATGTATTCTTTAGAAAGATAAGATATAATTACTTGGTTTACAAATTTGGAATTCATTTCGTAGGGTGCAGAATGAGAATAAGTGACAACAACTTAGTTCCCCAGAATTTTCAATTTGTTGATCGAATCGAATCGAAGAAGAGACGACGAGAGCTGTCGTGAGATGGGAAGGAAGAAGGGATTTGTTGATATGCAAAAATACTGATAAATTAATTACCCAATTTCGCTATAAATTGAATACTAAATAACATGAGATCAAAAGCTTAGTTTTCTTAAGAGAGATCTACAGACGTGTCTCAACTCTTAGAAAGGGAAGGAGGAAGGTAGAGAGGCCGCGAGGGAATTAGGAAATGATTTAGGGAGGGAGTTAGGAACAGCGGGGGTTAAGAACATTATGTAGGTGAGATTGCAACCAATATTTAAAAAAATATATATATGAAACAAAGTATCAAAAGTTTTAGTAAAATTGTTATAATTTTTTAAAATTATTATAAAACAAATAATAATTATTTGGAAAGTGGAAAAGTCGATCACGTTTTTTGGAGGGAAACGAGTAGAATGAATAAAATATATTTAAAAGAAAATTGGTAATTGCCACTAATATGTCAAATTTACCACTGATTCATTGTGCATGAGTGTATGTGTGGCTGTGTGTACTCACCTAATTGTGGTTGCAGGGGTCGAAACTCAGCTCCTGGCCCCGCCTCTTCACTGATCGCTACTAGGTCCTCTCTCTCTCTCTCTGCTTCCTGAACTTTGTCATACCTCGTCTTAGAGCTATGTATGGTTCCTGTCTCCACTACGTCACTTGCTAGGCTATTCCACTTCCTGACGACTCTATGACTGAAGAAATACTTCCTAACATCCCTGTGACTCGTCTGAGTCTTCATCTTCCAATTGTGACCCCTTGTTTCTGCGTCCCCTCTCTGGAACAACCTGTCTCTGTCCACCTTATGTGTGTGTGTGTGTGTTGTGTGTGTGTGTGTGTGTGTGTGTGTGTCACTGTTGTATTGTGTGGTGTGCGGGGTGAGTGGTTGGCGTCTTGTGTGTATAGGGCCTGTCTCTGAGTGTGAGTGTTTATCATTTGTTAAGCATTTGGATCCTGCTCAACACATCGCTCCCAAACTATCCACTTACTGACTACTCTGGTCTAAATACCCACTAACGACCTGTGATATCTGTCTCAACTAATGTGTCCCCCTTTCGTGTAAGATTTCTGAAGACTCCTGTTTTGTACCTTGTCAAGTTCCTCTAGTATTTGAGTCGTATCAAGTCCACACCTATCTATCAGTACTCAAATTCGTATTGATTTCCACTAACACTGTCTCTCCTAGACATACCTATCTTACTCTGGGCATAGGCTGTGCAAACCTGCAACTTTCTCTAGTTCTTTACGTCTGGCTAGTATGGGTCCAATCGGTTCGCATCTCCAATATGCCTACGTACACGGTGTTACAGGTCCCGAATGCACTTCCTATAAGATGTCGGAATGCTGTTCTGAGGTTTGCTAGGCGCCCATATGCTGCAGCAGTTATTTGGTTGATGTGCGCTTCAGGAGATGTGCCTGGTGTTATACTCACTGTGTGTGTGTGTGTGTGTGTGTGTGTGTGTGTGTGTGTGTGTGTGTGTGTGTGTGTGTGTGTGTGTGTAGATGTTGTATCATTATGTTAACATCTGATCTGACACCTGCAGGTACTGTTACCTGACTACTGGTCTCATGCCCACTGATACAGACCTGTTATGCTGTCTAACTAATGGTCTCTCTCACCTTCGTGAAGATTTTTTGAAGACCTCCTGGTTGATAGCCTAATGAACAAAGCTGGTCGTGCTAGTCACACGCAGTCTAATGCAAGAATCACAGCCTAGCTGATCAGACATAAATAATATTGTCATACCAACTAACAACTTGTCTCTCACTCAGATACATCGCTATCATGCATCCTCTACGGCCGCGCATGGGGCGGAAAGCAACTATCCTGATCGTAGTATGGATATGGGTATCGTCCACCTGTCTATCCATGCCCAACATGCTGTTCTTCACCACAGCAGCCTTGCCACTCAAAGATGGGAGCTCGAGGGTGGTGTGCTACGGTGCCTGGCCTGACGGTGATCAGGGCGACAGTCAATCTGAATATGTGTGAGTATTTTCAGGAAGGTATCCGAACACAAGAATTTTTTTTTATGGATTTTCCTAATATTACATATAACATATGCCAGGATTTGTTTTCCGATAATTACACTAAAAATACAGTTTCTACAACTCAGAATTGCTAACTCAAGATAAAATAGTTCAATAATGTAGTTGTTCAATTTAATACATTTATAAAATCGAGATTTCAGAAAAATCATCACCATGATATTTCCATTTGGTTTAAACTGCTTCACGCAATAGTTATACGTAAACAACTAAATAAAAAAAAGTTATAATAAATTCCATCACAATTCAGTCTGAAGCAAATAGCTACAAAAAGTCCATTTATCCGCCTCCGAGGCACTATGAGCCTCTGTTTCTGCCTTTATTCCCAGTTAACACTTCTGCAGTCATTAATCGTTGTTCATAAATAACACCTCACTGTTTTTCCTAGTTAGTCATGGACCAGTCTGCTTACAATTGTTATTCATCCTTCACCTACCAGTAAATAGGTATCCAGGTGACGGTCGACAACCGTGGGTGGCAGTCCTTGAGTGGTAATAGATCTTACATACAGCGGTATTTAAACTGAGCTGAGGTAGTTGTGTGTAAGAGGAACAAACAGCAATAACAACTTTATTTCTATAAAGTATTAAATTGACATGTTTAAGCTGCTTTATAAAATGATATCATTTGTTATGTAAACCATTTCGGACAGCCTTAAAACTATAGCATATTATATATATATATATATATATATATATATATATATATATATATATATATATATATATATATATATATATATATATATATATATATATATATATATATATATATATATATATATATATATATATTAATAATAAAGGTTTAGTCGAACATGGGGAATGTCACAGAGATGTTTGTGTCTGGTGTTTTGCCTGTGGATCCTGTCACAACTATCAAGAAAGCATTTCAGGTCAAGGTTAATATTGGAATTTAAGGTCCTGTAGATATAGATTGCACAGTAGTAAGTGTGGATGTTCTGAACAGGGAGTAAGTTTAGATCTATGAAGAGTGGGGGGGAGAGTGTTGTCAGGGATGGGATTTAGTGATTATTCTTACTGTGGCTTTTTGTTGAGTTATTATTGGCTTTAGGTGTGTTGCTGCAGTTGAACCCCAAGCACAGATAGCATAGGTGAGGTATGGATATATAAGTGAATGGTATAGTGTGAGAAGGGCAGTGTGCGGTACATAGTATCGTATCTTGGAGAGGATCCCCACCGTTTTGGATACTTTTTTTGTTATGTGTTGGATATGGGTGCTGAAATTTAGGTTGTTGTCGAGGTATAGGCCAAGGAATTTGCCCTCATTATGTCTGGCAATTAGAGTGTTGTGCAGCACCTGCTCTGCTACCAAACATAATATAGTAGGTTTTGCCAGTGTTAAGTGTAAGTTTATTGGCTGTCATCCAAGTCGATATTTTGAGCAGCTCCTCGTTAACAATGGTGTTGAGGGTGGCAAGATTAGGGTGGGAGATGACATAAGTCGTCGTCAGCAAAGAGAATGGGTTTCAGGTGTTGGGATATGTTTGGAAGATCATTGATGCAAATGAGGAAGAACAGGGGTCCAAGGACACTTCCCTGCGGAACTCCAGTATCAAGTGGCCGTATTGATGAGGCTGTGTCTTTAATGGTGACATACTGATACCTATTAGAAAGGTAGGATTTAAAATATGCAAGCGCATGGCCTCTTATACCATAGTGGTCAAGTTTGTGGAGTAGGATGCCGTGGTCTACTGTGTCAAATGCTTTTCTTAGGTCAATAAAAATTCCTAGCGGATATTCCTTATTTTCCAGTGCTGTGTAAAGCAGGTCTAGCATTTTTATAATTGCATCATTAGTGCTTTTATTTTTCCTGAATCCAAATTGGCAGGGGTTGAGTATGTTTTGTGACATTATAAATGAATATAGTCTCCTGTGCACGAGTTTCTCGAAGATTTTGGATAGCAATCATAAGTTTGATATTGGCGTATAGTTGTTTACGTCTGTAGGGTCATCACCTTTATGTATTGGTGTAACCCTTGAGTAGTGTCGGGAAAGTGCTAGTTTCTAGTGACTTGTTAAAAAGTAATGTAATAGCATGCGAAAGGACATGGGCTGCTCGCTTGTACAATAATGGTGGGATGTGAGACAGATTCCCTGAGTTATTTTTAAGTGACTTTATGATCGCGGTGATTTCTGTGGGCTCAGTTGGTACAAGATAGAAGGAATTTGGGAAATTCCCATCTAGGTAGTCACTGGCACGGGCATTAGTACGTGGGATTTTACTGGCGAGATTAGATCCTATGTTTGAGAAGAAGTCGTTTATCTTGTTAGCTGTATCAGTGGGATGCAGTGGTGTTTCATGAGGTTTAGTTAGAACAATATTCTTGTTTTTTTTTTCAGTTTTTGGGTCCCCAGAATCTGGGAAAGTGTTTTCCAGGTCTTTTTTATATCTCCTCTTGTGTCAGTGAATCTGCTGGAGTAGTACAGTTGTACGGTTAATAGTGTGAGCATGGTGATTAGTGTGCCAAATGGCGAGGGTTTTTTCTAAATGGAACAATAAATGTATAACAATTAGCAAAAGTTAGTCAGTGATGTGCATCTTTAGCGAACACACAGGGCCACTCCCTCCCTCCCATCCCTGAACCCCTCCCCTCATCCCAACCTAGGACCACTGACTTCCTGACCAAGGGTGTTGCAGTTTAGTGCCCCACCAATTACAAGTTCCGCCGCTCCCTACTCCCCCACCCTCATCCCCCATGCATCCATGCTGTCCTTCACCCGTCACCCCACAGCTGGCGCCCTCCCACCCCCACGATATCAGCAATGTCATAAGTAGTCATGGGTTCCCAGGAATCTTCACAACAGAGCCAAAGCTGTCGTTCAAGAGGCATCTGCTGGGTGTGTTACAGGGATTGTGCACTCAATCCCACAACTGGCAACATCCGTGCACACAATGGATGTCTAGGCTCCAGGAGAGCTCCAAATGAGAACAACCAACAGCCTCCCCCAGCAGACAGGGCTGAGAGCTACCGTGACTTCACCCCTACAGAAGACCTCAAATCTGCAATCAAATTAACATCCACCAGGACTCTGACACACATCCCCAAAGCAGCTCACCCTCAAGCTGCTAGCAAATTCACTGACCTTCTGAAGAAAGTCAATGATGCTCCTTCAAACGACAGATCCTGGCACAACTTGCTGCTTTTTGGCAATGCCTGTTTGGCTGTCCCACAAAGGAGGGACAAGTCACTAGCAACACATGTTATTAGGGCAATAAATGCATTCTCAAGGGATGGCAACCTCGTCCGTCTTCCCCCTCAGGGCGACAAACACCCGCTGGGCAAATGCCAACAACAGGACACCCGACGCCTCAAAAATCACAGCCCAAATTAGCAAAAAAAATAGAAGAGGGTAATACTATTGGAGCTCTGAGACTTATAACCAGTGAGGATACCATCGCTCCCAAGGATGTCAGCACAACGCAGGGCTTTCAGTACCAACATTGACCTCCATGACATTGCAGCAGGCGAAGAACATCTAGCCTTACAGGATGCTGATGTGTATAAAGCTGCTATGTCATTTCCACAGGGCTCAGCAGGAGGTTTCACCGGTTTAAGGCCTCAACACTTAAAACAAATACTCAATCCAGCACTTGGTGAGGTTTCAGAGAGGCTGCTGTCTGAACTCACTAAATTTTCCAACCTGTGCCTGGCTGGCAATGTCCCAGAGGCCATCAGACTCCTTTTCTTTGGTGCCTCATTGTGTGCCCTCCGGAAAAAGGATGGCGGAATCAGGCCCATTGCAGTGGGTAACACCCTTCGGCGCCTAGTCGCCAAGGCTGCAGTAGAAGGGTGAGTCAAGAGGCTGCTGCAATGCTGAAACCAACTCAGCTCGGTTTCGGCATTCAACAGGGCTGTGAAGCAGCTGCCCACGCAGCACGAGTATATATCAAAAACATGTCCGATGAAAATGCCTTGGTCAAATTGGACTTTGCCAACGCTTTCAACTCAGTCAGTAGGGATGCTGCTCTCCAAGCAGTTTATAGAAACTTCCCTTCCCTTTATCCCTTCATAGAATCGTGTTACAGTGTGACTTCCAAACTATTGTTTGGGGACCATGAAATTGACTCTTGTGAGGGCGTGCAACAGGAGGACCCTCTCGCCCCCTTTCTATTCTGTTTGGTCATCAAGGAAGTCAGAGAAGCACTCTCCAGCGAGCTCAATATCTGGTTCCTGGATGATGGTACCCTAGCTGGCACAACAGAATCTCTCCTAGAGGACATCAGTAAAATTAAAAACATGGGAGGAAGCCTGGGCCTTTCTTTAAACCATACCAAATGTGAAATAGTTTCTACCAATCAACAGATGATCCAGAATATTAGTGCTGTTTTACCAGGAGCATGAGCCATTGATCCAGCCAATAGCACTCTCCTTGGTGCTCCTCTTGGGTCCAATGCCATCGATCTGATCCTAGAAAAGAAAGTCTCAGACCTCTGGACGATGGAAAGCAGGATGAAAGACACTGACACACACACGATGCCTTCTACCTACTCACCAGGTGCCTGTCAATTCCGAAACTTACCTACTTTCTGAGATGCTCCCCAGCCTTCAGCAGTCCAAAACTCAAGGAATTTGACTCTCTCCTTAAGACCATGCTAGAGTGTGTATTGAAGGAACTCGCAAGAGCAGGAGAAATATACACAAACACTGATCTCTGGCCGAAGGAGACTCGAACCTACGAACCTTGGAACAAGGTACGCAGTGCCTTACCATTCTCATCACACTGGACCAATACCTTGGCGTCCAGCTTGCACTAGACGTTTGATCCAAGGCAGCCAGCTTTCAGGGAGAAAGCTTACAGCTTTTCATCTCATCCCCTGCATGCATCAGCCTTACTAGAGATTTTAACAATGCAAGGATAAAAGATGAAAAGCTGCAAGCCTTCTCCCTGAAAACTTGCTGCCTTGGATCAAACGTC